ACTCTAAACTGTATAAATAATGTAAAATTAAATTGAATTTATTAGCCAATCAGACAAACTTCTGCCTATGATTTTTGAGTAGATTTTGAAAGCTCATATTTCAAATATTTTTTTTTAAAAGTCGATTTTTATTTATATTAGCAGATAGTTAATTCGCTGAGTAATCTATTTCAATAAATTTGTAAATAAATACGCTATTCCTAAAAATTTTTGTATAAGCAACTCTTAAGTGCGTCATAATACCCTACCCTCCCCTTATGTATAATCTTTTTGTCAAGGAAATTAAAAGGCAATAATTTAATTATTACATATAGTTTTGTAATTGTATCTATTTACTTTTTAAAATGTTTTTATATGTACATATATTTATTTAATACAAATTTTGAAGTTTATTATGGACAACTTTGAAAATACAATTTAAAATATGATTTAGGATCAATTCAGGATCAATTCCGCAAATTCGCCAATATGAGATATTATATAATATCTGTATTATGGATATAATTTTTTTTAATGTTATTTTATTTTCAAACCTTATTTTATATAATTTTTATATAATTGAACCTTCTGTAATATATACTACTATTATGTAATATTTATATTTACAATGCTATCAAAATTATTACTTTGTAAATTTTTGTTTTTTCCTTAAACATTGCTTATAAAACTTATTAAATATAACAAAAAAATTTTACAAAATTTTACTATATAAAATAACCCTAATACTAATCTTAAAGTAATATATATCTGTAATAATATAATAGAGCTGCAAAACATTGCACTAAGCAATAATTAAAAATTCCAATTTTAAATACATATTTTATGATTATTGCTTGATCAAAGAAACCTTATCAAATTACATTATATAGAAACCATATAGGGCATAGAAAACACATATGGGAATAGATATCGCTTGTTACATAGCATACAATATACAATAATTGAACCCTTTCTGATTTGGGTTTCCGGTAAGTATATATAGAGGCATCACTGTATCCGGTCACACCTCTATGTAAGAGAAATACTCTATAGCCTAAGAAAACCCTGACTAAGGAATTTTATAAGTATTTGATTGATTGATCAAATGATCACGCGTCATTAAAAACGTAATGATAAATAAGCAAGCACTATTTACATCATACGTACAAAATATCATAATAATGTTATACCTTACCATATTTTATAATCAACTTCGTTCTATCAATCGTTCAGCTCTTCAAACAATATAACTTTTACAAAATTACCATACGTGACAGCTATTCCATATTCTCCCATTTTGACAACTCGTCGTATATAAGCGAATGGTAGTACTTCATCCATTTCATCTTCCTCTCTAAATGACGACGATTTTTGATCGTTATTAATCTTATCTGGACAAACACGATTTGATACGCTCCCGCTTCGTTTTTTATTTCGCTGTCTATAATCCACAACTTGACCTTGCATATGACCTTCTTCATGGTTGTGAACATATGAATGATTTTGATTCTGATTTTCTAAAGGGAATGATGGACTTAAGACGAAATTTCCTTTCGTTAAGGTAGTTTTCGGTCGCCTAACAAACCCTTTTAATTCTACATTTTCGAGATTGGACGGTTTATGCGTATTTTTTCGATTGTTTCGTTGTTCTTCTATGGTCAAATCACTTTCGTCGACCAATGGAACAGTTTTAACTTTAAATTCGATATCGTAATTTTCTGAACCATCAATTCTTTCAATTGGCTCGAGAATATGAGTGTCCAGAATCCAAACTTCCCACTCGCCTTCAGCACCATGGCATCTTTTAATGGACGCATTTGAATTTTTAGCATGACGAGCTCCAAATATGTTTCCCCTGAAAAATCCGATTGCCGAACCACCAGGTTGGTTCACACACCCAAGAAATTTTGTTACTATATCATCCCAATGTCGTCCTGAGGCGTCTTTATTATTATTATCATCAGTGGTAAAATCACTTATATTGGAAACCATGCACGCACAGTTTATGGTATTTCGGATTAATTGCCAAAAATACACTTTTTCATCCAACGATGAAGTTGTAATCGAAAAACCACTAGTCTCTACAGTATTTCCACACGGACAACACTCTTCCTTAAGTTTGTGAATTATAACATTAGTAACCACATCCTTGTGAGAAACATTACCTTTAGTCTTGTCTGGAAGCTCATAACCATACTTTTCAAGTAAATCTTGATTAGTAAATAATTTTCGTTGAAATAATAACTGTTCTCCACACTCTTTTGCATTATGATGTTTTCCAAAAGTTCCACAGCTTAAAGTCACCATCGGTTGTCCTGTGAGGTAATCATACACTTTAACTTCCCCGTTTGCAGCTCCAGTAACCACAATACCAGTACAACTCTTTTTAGTTTTGACAACTTCAGCGGCTATACTTGTGATTGCATTTCTAGATTTTCCTGGTATTGTGTAGAGTAATTTCCACATGCTTTTACAGTACGAATTATTACTTCTAGATTCATCTTCTGGATTATGAACTGTACGGCTCCAACACTTGACAGATCCATCCCGTGCTCCAGTAAAAATATGTAATTCATCTTGAATATAATTTTGCTTTTCATCATCAACCACAAAAAGACAACTGATACCACCCTTTTGATTGGTGAAAACTGTATGGGCAATCTGACCAGAAATAAGATCCCATTCTCGAAAATAACCATTTAGGTAAGTTGCCAAAATCATGGAAGGAATTTTTTTGTTTGATGTAGATTCAGATGTATCATAAGAGGAATGTAAATTTGGTACTACAATTTGCAAACAGGTAACTTTTTCACAAGTATGATTAATTGCTGGCGTCATTTGTTCAATATCTTCAACAGTATATTTTAAGATATAAATGGCTTGACCTGAATTTATATCCCACACTCGTACCACTCCATCATCAAATCCAGCTGCGACAAGATCGATTTTTTCACTCATGCAGATTGCCCGAACCGGCCATGTAATACAATTTTTAAGTCCTCCGGTACTGTCACATTTACATGTTTCACAGCGGCGCATATATCTTTCAAGTTTTTTTAATGGTATGCCTTGTCTTCCATCCCATGATGTAATGTGTCTATCAGTAGAAGTCGAGATTATAACACCATTAAAATTCGCGCAAAGTAAATCCACATCAGCTGAATGACGACCACGTAAAGTTATAACACGAAGTGTGGCAAAACATAAAGTAGAACTTCCAGAAGGTGAGGACACTGGTAAGATTATTTTATTTCCAACTTTTTCAACTGATTTTCCTGTTTTTCGAATTATCAAATCCAACGGTAATGAATATCCCACCAAGAAAGATGTTAAAAATATTATAATAATAGCAGGAACTGTAATAAACTTGAGAGATAAAATAAAAGTTTTTAAAGATTTCTTTGTAATGAATTTCCAATTTATATTACTATTGGATGAATAGGAAGTATCTATGTCATTATCATGTTCAGTGCCATAAAATAATGTCAATTCCCTGGTAGGTTGAATTATAGCAAATTGATCTTTTTTATCCAGACTCATAATATCCCAAAATTTATCAGTGGTTGCAGCTATTGATGTTTCCCAAAATGTGATATTTATATTTGTAGCAGATTCAATCACAGAACTATCATTTAGGTTGTCAAATGCAAACTTAAAATATGGAGAATTTGGCACTGCCACCAAGAATATGAGAATCTTAACAAAAGAAATTGATATTCAATTATGTATAAAGAAAATATAGTATTCAAAGCAATATAAATGTATACATACGACTAATAACCCACTGATTTTACGACCATAGTTAATTGATTTCAAAAGTGGGATAGTATTTGCATTGGTGTCATTATTCGAATTACTAATAGGATTATTAAATAATATCTTTAAAGGAAATAATGAAAACAAAATATTAATAAGTATATTGTGAAAAAGAAAAGATTAATAAGTACATTGTGAAAAACAAATTAACTAAAATAAATTTTATACTTCTAACTCTGATCTCTTAAGGTCAATAGATAAAGTCGCTACAAAAAATGACATGTGTAGAATATAGATGATAATCATGGCGATTGAAGTGAAAATGCAAAATTCTTTGATTGAATCTATATTTGTCATTGAGCATATCAACAGCAATAAGAGCCAAATTGCGAGTGTTTTTGTAATAGTATACCCTACTTTTTCGAGGCCTAAGAAAGGTACTGTATTATATGAACTATACAACATAGGAATTACCAAACTAAGAGACTTATTCAGTAATATATTACCTTGAGCGACACGTTCTTTTACATCCAGTTGAGCGGGGATCATTGCTACAGCATCGATTAAAGTAAACATATTTTCTATACCAATCAAGATAAAAACGAAAGGTAATAGTTTCCTGAAAGAAACAATAAATATATTATTATTCGTACATACACGATAATCAATGAATAAATATCACACATTATAGACATACCAAGATATCGATATAGAGGTAAATGTTAACGTGACGTCAAATAGAGAGTAGATGCTAAGTGATATAATTAACGAAGCAAACACCTGAATAATAACCGAGGAGAGGAGACCAAACTTAGACTTGGCGAAATCAAGACGACCGGATGAGAGAATAATGTAAAAGAAAAAAAGAAAGTACGCTATCGTAAAAAGAAGCAACTCGGTCAAAAATTCCGAAGAATCGTTTCGATTCGACTGTAAAATAAACTACGATTTAATACGAGAAAAATTGAATGTATGAGATTACAGCACAAATGTATGTAAGATTGTATACATTAAAAAATAAATAATTCAATTCTCCTCGATTGCTCATGTTTACACTTTTAATGGGATCATCACCAAGGAGAAAGGTAGTGTTTATATCATTTATAATCTGATTCCAAATCTCTTTCCAAATAGAAATCGTTAGACCTTTGTTGTAATCTTCAATTTCTTTCAAAAAATACGTTAAAATTATCGAGTCTGCACTAATGATTTTTCTTCCCTCATACACGACATTTCCAAAGACTGAATTTAAAGGAATGAATTTTTCAAGATATATTTTGTTTGCCAATGAGAGAGTAGCTTGAATAGAAGAGTCATGAGAAAGGTGATCGGCATTATTCAACCAATAATCAAGTGGGGAATGAATCAAACATGAGTTACTATTAAAAGGTTTAAAGCATATATCTGAAAGGGTATATCTTATAGAAGTCGAAGCAATTGACGAAGAAAGACTAGGATATCTTATAACAGCATTCTCGATTTTTTCTTGCAAACCTAAAATCCATAACAATAAATCTTTTTCCAAAACACTAGCACTTTCACCTTCATTATTTTTCCCTAAATTAGCTATCTTTATGATAACTTGCTCTACGTAAAATAAAGGCCGAGCTCCATGTTTGTCAGCAAAAGTTTCCTTTAATATTTGTGGCTTAGATGGAGATACATCACAAAAAAATGTATGGTTAACGTCTTTGACGGGATTCAAGTAATAAGTATCGAAAGCAGGATAACATAAAAGTAAGACTATGAAGATTTCCAAGACAATCATAAAAATAGGGTGAGAAGCACAAAACTTTGCATGACGGTAAAAAAATTGAGCCACTACTTTAGAGCCAATTTGAACTCGAGCAAAAAAAAGTGTAAATATTGCCATTGTTCATTAACAGAAATAACAGCTCGAATCAATTATTAAATACCAACACAAATTCCATTAAAGGATATGCCTTTTGCACTGCCTAATTGGTATTTTAGACGTGAATATAGAATTACGAAGTGCCAATGGCGATGATGCATTTAAGATTGTGTATCAAACCCAAATAAGAAGATATGCTTTACCTAATTTGGAATAGTGATCAAACCATAAAAATTTACTAGCACTTTCCATGCATATGTACAAATATTTGATGCATAGCAATAAAATAAGTAGTAACCGGGCATAAGGTACGTGTATACATGCGTATCATATAAAACCTATACGTAATAAACCCCGGGTATAGTACGTGGCTGAGTATTTATGCTATTAAAAGGAAAATTTAATACTTCTCATTCATACCAAACGGGTATATTACATGGGAATTTACAATAAAATAGTACAGTATGTAACGCATATCAGTATGAAATCATGCTAATTGAGACAGTTTGTGAAAAAAAAACCCATTATTCGACTATTTTTTCCTTACGGCAACACGAAAAAGGGACAGCACTAGCATCTACCTAACTCTAATCTGGTGATTTTAAAAATCGAATGTTACAGACGATTCTGGATATACCGAACTGCATATTCTGAAAGATTTTGTTCGTATAGAAGTAAATTATATCTCTCCATATACAGAACTGTTCAGTATATGGAACTAAACAACACATAGAACTAGCGATGCGCCATTTATATGATACCCGAATTTTTTTCGCGTACAGTACGTATCTAGCGATTTGATTGGCTGATATAAAGGATCGGCAAAAATTTTCGCGTACAGTACGTAAGCACAGTACGTATAGTACTGTACGCGGCACATCACTATACAAAACCGGATTTACTAAAAAAAAACTTGGAATTTACACAAAATTTTGTGTTCATTCATTTTCTTTTTCGGAATATTTCGGATTATAAGACTTTGCGGATATGCATATCCGCGACCCATGCATAGTCCTGGGATGGTAAAGAATTTACTATGAGTTCGGTATAATCAACCTAAATTATTATGAAAAATCCGTCTGCCAGATCTAGTTCGTTATAGTCATTATAACAGCTTTGGTGTATCCAAAGTCGTCAGTATAACTTTATATTAACTGTAAGATAGTGACCTGCTGCGATATTAAGGATATATGCGTATGTGACATATTCTCTAGAAATACCAAAAGTCACAAAATCTAAAGATGTGTATATATCTGTACAGTGCTACTTGCTGAATACCTGATTTATAACTAATAAAATAAACATTGTTATTATAATCATTGTGAAACTTGAAACATGCTGTATTCAAATATAGATCAATCAGAAATCGCTCGTGATAATTTGCAAGCAAATCTGTCTATAAGACGATTTAAAGGATATACGGTAGCCTACGACAATCATTACTTTTATGAAACGGTATCGTTTTGAAAGAAAATGTGCATTTTAGAGAATCTACAAAAAAGCCATTCATATAAACGCCGAGAAATTGATATTGTAGATAAACATAGGAAATGACAATGGAATTTTGAACCGGTTTTATTTTCGTATGCTAATACCAGTTCCAAGCAGTGTTAAACCATGACAAGATGATAACGGGTCATAACAGGTCATAACGTGCCATAACGGGATGGTAAAAAATCAATTTAAACCATGTGATGATTATGATTATGATGATCCGATTATATTAGATTACGTTATCATCACATGATTTAAATCGGTGAAAAATGATTTTTCTATCATCCCTAGTCATATCATTAAATTCATATGTATCATTAAATTCATATGACAATATTTATTTTACTGGTTCCAAAGGATACGAAATTATCCAATGACGAATCAGGATTTAGTATGACGTGGCACAATCACGAAGATAAAACAAACGTCCTTGCTGAAGAGATACAAATAAATCACGTGAGGATAAATCGATGAAATATACAAAAAAATTGTATTATCCCTTAAACCGTCAACTTCAAATATAGACTATAATCCAATGTAATTTCTATATAATTTGGTAGCCAATCACAGATTAGTCATGATTTAAGCGTACAAATTTGCATATGATTTTGTCATGAAAGACGGGAGATGCCTATAATTTTCCTATCTAGAATAATTTTTCTATTTAGAATTCTGTCTAATGATGTAAACAAATATCACAAAGACTGTCATAAGAACCGGTCTTGAACCAGCCTTCACATTAGTCTCACGCAGAGACGGGATACTTTCATAAATGGAATAAAATTAAAATTTTCTGTTACTATCATATCAGTTCCAGCATTAGAATTTTAATAATTACGGGATATTACGTATCATAATATCGTAACGGTATATTGCGTATCATAATATCGTAACGCCATAGCTCAGCAACTCTGTACTTAAATAGAAGTCTCAGTTTGTAATCCATATTGTCTTATCGTTTTCACGAGTGTATTAAAGCAGAAAATCCGAAGAATTTGCATTGTCTATGATGCAACAACAATGTATTATATTTTTTAGTGCTTATTAACAATATAGAGATTTGAATTTATTGTCTTAGTGAAGTCTGCAGATATAATTCATTAATGATAGCATGATTGTTTATCACGTCACACGCAAAATAATACGCTGTTTTATCGATACGGCGTGAGTAAAAAAAACCTTAGTATGCATGATTTGTTACATTAGAACACAAATAAACATTCGACGTAAGTATGTACGTCGTTATCGGAAGATTGGCTGTAAACTATAATATAGCCTTTTGAATTTATTGTTCAGCAGTTTATAGTTAAATTTAGAGATGCTGGCAAAATTAATTTCACCAAATTTCATCAATTCAATACCAATTTCACCAACAGCAGTGAAGCTACTTTACTACTTTAGATTTATCTCAAATAAAATTCCTGTTTCGTTGTTTATTATTTTTCTAACTTTGGTTTAGAATTGTTTTGATGATCGACAGATGATCGACCAATCAAATTGTGAAATTTTGACTAATCAGACGAAACTAAACAAACGAAAAAAAGAAAAAAAGTCGAGAAAGCAATTTTACATATGGAACCCTCCGCAGCAAGGGGCAATGAGCCAAAAAAAAAAAAATTTATTTATATAATTACAAAAATTTTTGTCAATCTCAAAAAATGACCCTAACTTCATTTTTTAATTAAATATAAGTTAAATTATCGCAAAATTTCAAAATTCACACCGCTTCAGTTGACCCTTTTTTTTGATATTTGTTGGTGGCATAGTAACTTTTTGCACTGCTTTCAGGAATAGCGTTGATCTGGCATGCTCTGACATGCTTTGACATGAGCAGGAAATCACAATTTTTATTAAAACAATTGTTATGGAAACGATGAGGTTGAAAAAATGTCTATTGCTACTCGGTTTAATTCTTATATCAACTTTTAAATGATTGCCCTCGTAAATTAAAAAAGAATTTAAACAAAATTTTCTCACTTTCTAGCATAAAGATTATACCCGGTCGGGCATTACTCGGGTTACTCGCGGTTAACCAAATTACTCGGGTAGGTTCACCGTTAAAAATAATCTAAAATAATTTAAAATTCAAAAGGTGTTAGTTTAGTAGTGACTTTCTTTAAGGTAGTTTTGAAATACTTTTTCAAAACAGCATTTCTCATTACAGCACTAATAAAAATCATCAAAGCTATTATAACCTTAAAGTAATTGTCAATATTCGCTATGCAAAAAAGAACCACTTTATTAGAAGGCAAAATATAATAAAATATATCACTATCTATTGGATCTTGCAAAATTATAGAGTGAAGGTAACTAGAAATTTTTTCATTAACTTCATTATGTTATATTAAATAACCTTGTTTAATTTGAATAAGTACAAAGTTTATTAGTAGTAAAATATAATAAATCTCACATACGTATATCTATCTATTTTCTAAATATATGTGATAAACTCTGGTTTTTTTTCGTTTTCTATAGTAATATAAGGTAATATAATTTACAATAGAATTAATAGAATTCATCATTTTTTCTAAACCAACTTCTACAATATTTTAGAATTCTATGATATTTTGCGCATTTTGTAGAATTCTGTAACATTCTGTAGTGACTAAGGTGATTTTTGTGGTTGGCTGTGATTAAAAGAAGTTCTAGAAATTCTGTGATTTTCTGTGAAACACAGAAAATCACTGTCCTGCATATGATCATCATATTACACAAACGCGTGAGTATGCTTCACTAAATTACAAATTTGAACACGCGTGCTGCGTAATTTTGGTATCACAGTACAGGATCCTCCAGATCAATGTAATTTGGTTGGTTAATAATCATGTGAAATCACGGGTAGATCTATAAAAATAATCAATCAAACTTTTGTCTATGTTACTCGGGGGTGCCCTAATTTCCCCACCACTTCACTATACTCCGATATGTGAATAATTAGTAGAACCAATCATAAGTGGTAAGGAAATTAGTAAATTCGTTATTCGAGTAGGCATACCTAAATGCGAAATCAAAATTTACAATGGTTCGGTATACAAGGTACAATGGGGAAAATTTCGGTTTACACTAAGTTTATTGCGTGAGTAGTGATGATCTTGCACGCACAAAAAGCCTCGAAAATCAGTTCTATTAAACCGGGTACTGACAATTAAAAATTCCGGCAACCAGAATTTTTAGGTAGAAAATTCCCAAGATGGGATATGTATGAAGCGAAATAGACTTATAATTTAGGCCGTTCTCAAGCGTCTCCTTCAATGTGTTTACAAAACGATCTGATTGGCCGAAAAAATGGATCGTGATTATCACTTAGGTCAAAAAAAACAACCACAAATATTTTTCATAGAGCTGTTCTGACTGGCTAAAATTTAAAATCCGCATTTCGGACAATGAATTTTTAATAATTCGGTTTTCGATTAACCGTAATAACCACTCAATTAATCGTAATGCTTTGAGCAACATCTCGATCACTAGCTAATCACGTTGAGGGAACACCCTTAATTAATTTTAGGGTTAGGTCTAGTGATGTGCCGCGTACAGTACAGTACGCAAAAAAAATTTGGAATATTCTAGAACAAATCATGAAAGTATCCCTATCTCAAAATTTTGATTATGAAACTGTCTTTCGCATTCTAACCAAAATTGTTCCTTGCACAATGTTGCATATAACAGATTTATAAATGCTACATGCATTATGTGTATTACGTATGCGAAAAAAAATCGGATATAATATAAATGGCATATCTATAGTTATCGTGCAAACTCTTATGATCATAGATTTTGTTTTCTTGTTATTTTTTTTGTACGTTATTACGTAAGCACAACAATCCCAAATTAAAACTCAGTTAGCCAACCACGACTCGTAAATAATGATCATAATTGCACGATAACATTGATATTATGATATTAATCCTTAGGTCACTTTAGATAAGGGTTAAGATAGGGTTTGCTATGGTCTGATATTTTTTATCAGAGTTTTTAATTGTCGGAATTTTTAACTGTCTGGATTTTTTGTCGGAATTTTTAACTGTCCGGATTTTTTGTCGGAATTTTTAACTGTCTGAATTTTTTGTCGGAATTTTTAACTGTCGGGATTTTTTGTCTGGATTCTGTTTGTCAGGATTTTGACCCAAACACATTAAACCGAATTTTTATAAACAATGGCGCTAAAAAAAAATAATATAAACGATCCTTTTTAAAAATTCACTCTCATGGCTCGTGATAATTTTGATGGTTAACGTTAATCGAAGATAATTATTATTTGTGCAAATAAGTATGCTGGTACACTCGTAACCTTCAAATTAATAGGCTTAATTAAATATATTTTGATACATAAATCAGTTTAATTATCGAAACAATAAGTTGCAGAACCAAAATTAATAAATTGCTGAAACAAAAAACTTATCAATTCATTCGTTACCGATTCTTTTGATCGTCCCCAAAATTACGAAAACAGCCGTGACTAATTAAAAAGAAAAAAAAATTACATAAAAACTATCACAAATTCATCAAAAATACTTTACTTTCATTAACTAGATGTTAATAACAATACTGAAATACTCTTAAAGTACCGCAACAATCTCTATGCCATAGCTTCAATCCTTAATACACAATATTCATCTTTATTGCACACATTTTTTTAACAAGTAACTTACCCTGTTTCGCTTTATCTTGTCTTTTGGCTCATATAAGCTACAAGGCAAAAGATTACTAATACATGTCACAAAGTTATTTATACACACCTTCAATCAGAACCCACCTATAAAATTAGAGGAAACCTTGTTGCGTGATAATATCAAATTGCGTGATAAATATTCCAAGTTAGCTGATGATTATCGTTATTATTACCTAAATAGTATATAATCCTAATTAAGATAGATCTGCATCAAAAACACAATTACTGATTACTGGATTATCAGCAGACTTTGAATATGCATTCCGTATTTCAACAATTAGCTTTAGAGATTTTACGGTAGATTAGGTTCGATAATGAGACAATTAAAATATCTCTAACCCAAAATTGGGGTCATCTATAGTGAAGAAAAATCATATGACAAATCAACCAATCAAATTATAGCTAAAAACGTGTAAAATACGTAGAATAAGCGATAGTCTAAACCTGCTTTGAAGTATGAATGAAAATGTCGGGAAGGCAATTTTACTATATAACACACCTAAGCTTAATATACACTAACCTAAAATACACACTAAATTTAATGAGTTATTTCCGCCTTAGATGTCCCTCAGAGGGACATGATATTGACACAGCAATTAACATATATTTCTTGGCACAGCAATAATTAACATCGATATTACATGTTTTATAACCAATCACGATTATAATAAACGATTTGAAAAACTCAATTATGATTGGATTACAACATATATACGTATTATTATTATATAGACATATACTGGATCTAGGTCAAAATTGAAGCTTAATTATCGCATCGCGTGATATCGGGATTCAAACTCCGCTTGGAGTTTGAATATCCCGAGATATTGATCATAATCAACCAATAAAATTACATAATTTATCACTCAAATAATACTAAAAAAGCTTATCAACAAATATAGAATATTTTATCACATATATTTACGTAGAAATATATAAATAACTTTACATTAGGGATATAGGATATATTACGGCGCACTTTTAAACTACATCAATCTTCCTATGTCTAATAAGATGCATCAAAGGTTCCGAAAATTTTTTTCGGGGTTCAACATTGATTAAAGAAACGCGAGATTAATCACATCATATAATCACGTGACATATGTATCAGGTGTCATCAATCATCCGACAAATTATTAAAAATTAGATCGTGTCTAATAGTTTCATTAATTAATCAAACCATTATTTTTTGTCAATTATTAATAAACTTATCATTAATATAACAGACCGTTCGAATACGTAAACGATTCCGATATAGTTACACGATTGATAAATAATTTTTTATACGTTTTACAATACTTCTTTTAAAAGCTCGGGTAGCCTAACCTTCTATGAAACGAGACTAAATTTAATTAACGATGAATTAATGTTTCCACTTCGCCATATAACATTTTCTTTGAACCTCCGTGAATTTCTCGTCTTTTTTTTTGCGACCAGATTGGCTGATTTGCTAAAATTCGAGATATGATTGGTTGACAATCACGTGAATTATATCGAAATCATACGTGTTTGAACGGTCACTAATGTTCATTATTATCTAAGTTGTTATAAATAACATTTAATTTTTTATCATTTCGTGTAACAATTTATCGAATCTACATTTTGATTGACGACGCCACTTTTTCGACTTTTCGCATACAATGTCAACGAATAAGGTCACAATCGTTTTCCTCAATACTTTCTTTTTCACTTTTCCGACGCTTTCGTTTCCTCGTTACTTTCGCTTCCTCGACACTTTCATTTCCTCATTTTCCGATAGTTTCCTTGAAATTTTTATCTACCTAATGCTTCATTTTTCCGATACCTTTTTTTCAGTAGTCCGTTTATAAAGTCCTCTCGTGTGGATGAGTATCGCCAAATTAAAGTCAGTAACTAATAATATTAATTTTCTAAGTTCAATTCAAAGTTTTAACTTTACAATACTCAAATGATTAATCTCTATTTTACTTATTCGTCCTTGAATAGTATACCCATTATTGTTATTACGGCAACGCGTAATTAAAGTAAAATAATTTTAATTAATATGAATAAAAATAAATTAATTCGTAAGTATTCCTGAACCATTTACTATAAATTGTAATGTGATTGGGTATTTGGTGATTATATTCATTAATTGAGGTGTTATCTCTAACCATTTGTCAACAACTTTATTGTTATTTTTAGATGCCTGTTTCCAAGTAGAAAATTTGATTTAGCAACTGCTTCTAATAGTACATTATTTACATTGGACACTTCAAATTTACCTGGGTTTCATTACTTGATTTAACAACTACGATTAATAATATTTCACCACCTTCAAACCAACAAACACCAATCCATCAGGCAATTCACCATCTAGTGATAGTAGTAATAATTTCCTTATGGTTCCATACACCATGTACAGATGTTCGCAAATATAGATACAGTCCACCTTGCCTCAATAACGAATCTGATATGGTACTCCTTCCGTTTCAAGTATGAATCAATATGTTATTTTCACTCCCATTTAGAATATGAGTTCTGCATGTCATCCTAGTATTTAAATTCTATCAATCTTGATTTATCTGATGTTTATTTTCATTCACCCTGGTACGCCCCGGGCTAGAATAGTATGTATCACCAAAGCATTTTTACCCAAGGTTCTACCCATGGCTCTTATAACCAAGGTGTTTTTACTCATGTTAGCCCTACACATAACATTTATACAAGTGGCCATCTTGCCCAAAGTGTTTCTAAAATTGGCATCTCCACACCGAGTACACGTTCCATGTCCAATAATTCGTAACCTTTAGTATAACGTCACCATTGTATGGGAAGGGCTTCCGACAATCATGCAGAGTTTAACTGCGATGGTTGAGGTAAGAGAAGATAGGGAACTTGATTAGGGATGGGTACGGTCAGTCATTCCCGGTTAATTGTTTAATGACCGTTAACTGTATCTTATGCTAACGGTCATTAAACAGTTAACCGAAAATGACTGACCGTATCCATCCCTAAACTTAATGATAAAAGAGGGAACTCGTATTTCATAATTAATTAGGCATTTATTATCCCCCACACCGTTTTGCAAGCAAATTTTCCCGATAGATCTGTGATTAAGCAATCAAACTATATTGGATAGTGTCTAAATCGTAGGAAATATGTAGATAAATTGATGGTGTAAGGGATAGAAAAGAATATATATTTATGCATTTTTTATTTAGGAACGATTTCAGAATTCATGCATTAGATTGTAGGCTAACATAAGAGGGAGTTCGTATTTCATGGTCATTGGCCATTTTTTATAGAAACGAATTTATACTTATGTATTCTTTATTTAGGAACGATTTCAGAGTGCATATGTTGGATTGTAGATTAAAGGCGAGAGCACACCTTTATATACATTCTAATTTCCTATAGCGTTAACGCTAATACTATTACGTTTTCTCTGTAGAGGTCGCGTTTACGCTCCATTAGTAGCGTTTATGAAAAATAGTAATATTGACGCTGCTACCGTCAAATTACATAATAATGCCTAATACTATTAAAGGAAAGGCTAAGGTGGCTATGGCGACATAAGGATGGAAGGAAAATGACATCTTAATGATAAGACAAATTTGGAATTGAGATTTATAGAATAAAAATTATTGATTACAATATATTTTAGGAAAAAAATTCATTGATTGAAGCTAGCGCAAAATAAAAACCTTTATGTCTTTGCTAAATTTCAAAATGTCTGGTTTCCGGTTTAACTGTTCCTGATTTAAATTCAGCATCTAGAAATCGAATTTAAATTAGATCAATGTTTGGATGCTAAAATGCTGGATAAAAACAATGCAATTTATCAGAGGGAAAATGAAACCATCGGGGAAATGAAGTGTCGGAGAAATCAAAGTGCCGGAAAAAAAGGGATGGGAAATGAAATGAAACATCGAAGAGTTGTCGGGAAAATGTTTTTTGGAGGTAACTGTTGAGAAAATGAGTTGAATCCAATACAAGCCACTATACTATATCACATGATTATCCGATGTAATTAATTCCGGAATTTCTGCGTTTCTGAACGTGAAGGTATCAACTATACTATGTTTGATTCATGCTAGGGTGTCCAGGATTATATGACGCTATGCGCATGATTGACTATTTTTCGCATCGTCGCATCGCATATACAAGGAAAAAAAGCATTCACATCACGTGTATCGAATATGATTGGTAGATGAGTTACACGGGTGAGAAATTCCGGAACGTTCGAGCCAATTTTTTTGACCAATATCCAAATAACTTCGAGATAGAAGAATAAATATATATATTGAATAATACTCTAAAGATCATATAATCTATTTAAATATTTCGCATTATTTTAAATTTATTTCGCATTCATCGCATAATTGACCTCGGTCAAATCACATAATTTACTCGCATCGCATAATCCTGGACGCATTTACTAATTTCCACGGAATTCGATTGGCTGGGATTATTCGTACCAATTTACATGTCACCTTCCGTTTAAAATGTGATATCTCGGTTTGGGTTAAGGTTAGTGGGCAGCATTATACCAAAATTTTGCAAGTAATTTTTTTTTGTCAATACACAAAAGGTGATTTCTTAGAAGAATTTTTGAGATAAATGTGATTTTACAAATAAAGCGACTGTTATTTGACTGTCACGTTACACCTGCTCATGCTCTCTGATTGGGCAAAATCGAAACTCGGGAAATTCAGAAATTAGTAAATGCAATCCTGGACACCCCTAATTATGCGATGCGATGTTATGTGCATAATTGACCATTTTGTTCGCATTGTGGATGCTTAGCACAATTGGAACAAAAAGAGCATTCGTATCACGTGGCTCGGATATGATTGGTTGATGTGTTGGATCTTTTGGTCGGTGGGGAAAAGTTCTGCATAGAAAGACAACGAACGTAAATTACGAGCATGGTGAGGTAAAATTTAACAACCGATAAATTCCAAAGGTTATAAGGAAATTATATAAAATAAATCGCATCCTCTATCAAAATTTGCATCTTCAATTTAAAAACTTCGCATAATTTAAGAAAATTTTCATATTCATCGCATAATTGATCCCAATCGCATCGCATAATCCTGGACACCCTACGTATAGGTGACAATAACACATGATCGAAAAGAGAAGTGCCGTATTTCCTAATTCCCTCAGCGTAACCAACAAAAAATCCGGGCACGTGAGTACTATGGCTTGTTAGTGTGGCTAGTATAAGATTTATTATAATTTCAAATAGTTATACGATACACAGCACAAAAGGTTCTATAAAAAAATATTTGATATATCAATTAAATAAAAAAAGAAAACATTAATTGCATTATTTGTTTTTGTTATATTTTAATATATAATAAAAAAAAACTCCCCAATATTACAAAAAATTAATCTTTGCTTTTTTTTTTTTTGGTGTTAAGATAAAATTAATCTTTGCTAAAATATGCAATAAATATTGGTTTGATAAATAAATATATAAAATTAATTTAACAGATTTAACAAAAAAATTTATTACAAATAATAAGTGTTATTATTATGATCTTTTCAGGTTAATGATATTGTTTGTTTTCTTTAATATTATTTAATTTTATTAATTAACTTAACTATTAAATTAAATGATTTTCTTACTGTTTTAATCTATTTTGTATTGCTAGCTAATTTTTATCTTCTAAAATTACAAGTGCTTTTTTGTTTTTTTTTAATCAATTATCAAACATTACATTATAATTATCAAGAGATTTTTCATTATTTTTAGTTAATTTAATCAATTTATTAGTAAACTTGTTACTTTTAACTTGTTCAACAAATTTGTTTTCTTTTAAGTTCATATTGTTTAAAAAAAAGGTTTATAACTTCTTTTTATATTAACAAAAAACTCTGCTATTATATTTACTTTTCTGTATACCAAATGTTTTTATAAATAAAATGATTTATTAAATAGTTTTTCCTTTACTAAAGCATGAATGTATGTTATGTTTTTTTTTACTGTTTTTTTTTTTAACAAAGATTCTGAATATCACCTGCATAAGCAAGACATATTTAGAATTTTTGTTAAAAAAAAGGCAATTCACTCTATTAAAGTGTGATTCTCTGACATACTTTTTTTTTGTAAACCAACAGAGATCTCAAATTTGGTTGCATGTTCTACATAATAATAGAAATAATATGTACAGTACATCTGTATATACATATCCCATATCATAGATCAAACTCCATTATATATGTATATTGAATATATATAATATATATCAAATATGTAAATGTATAATAGATCTATGATTATATATTATAGATATTATAATATAAATATATATTGTACAATATAATAAATAATTTATAAATAGATTTACCTTATATAGATTAATATTAAATTATATAAATAAATATGCATATATCTAACTATATTAGTAATATAAATAAAATTTATAACAAAAAATCATTATAAAATTTTTTTAAAATTTTTTTTTTTAAAAAAATCATTTTTTATTAAAATTTTATAATTTGATTTATTTTTTTACTAACAAATTATTATTTTAACAAATTTAACTATTATATTTAATAAATTTAAATAAAAAAAATAAAGTTTATAAAGAATTTAATTAAATTAATTATTAAAAATAATAATAAATTTATTATAAAATTTAAAAAAAAAGATAAAAATTTCTAATTAAAAATTATTAAGATAGTAAAATTTTATATTGTTTATTTTATATATTTATTTTATTTATAAAATATATAATAATACAAATAATTAATTATATTATATTAATTTTTTTAATGAGATAGAAAATGTCAAAAAAAACATGTAAAAATAATATTTTAGAATCTTTAAAAAGAATAAGATCTAAAACTAAACTAGTAGCAGTAAGAACAAGATTATCAAAAAAAGAAGATAATAGATTAAGAAAACAAAGACAAAAAGCTGTTATAACAGAAACTCAAAAAAAAGAAGAAAAAAGGAAAAATAGAGAAAAAAGAAAAAAAAATATTAAAAAAAGAAACAAAAAGAATTTGAACAATTTTATAAAATAGAATATTATAATTTAGATGAATATTAGGATAAGAGAATAGAAATAGAGAATAAAAAAAATATAGAAGATAGAAGACATATATTTGAAAGAATAGATATTATTTATAAACATTATAATATATTAAAATAGAAAAATAAAAAAAAAATTTTGTTATTTAAATAAAAAAATTCAATTAGCATAACAAGAACTACTATTACCAAAATTAGAAAAATTACTTACAAAAAAAGATTCAGAATTTAATGAATCTTTTGTTAATAAAATAAAAGCATATAATCAAATATTTGCTTTTATATCAATTGGTAGAGTAACATTAAATTTAGAACTCTTAATACCAAAAAAGAGTTTATATATATAAAGTTAAAGAACAAAATTATCACTAACATGAACCTTAATGCTTGAAGAATCTAAAGGAATAGAACCTAAACTATAATTTATTCAATTATATTTTTATTATAGTGATAATTTTGTAGGTCACTTAATAAAAAAGATAAATTAATGAATAGTTCATTAAACAAAGAAATATTAAAAAAACTTCAATTAAAATTATATTATTGTAATCTTTTTGTTTATTTATTTAAAGTTGTAAGAACAGAAGAATAAAAAAAAAATTATATATAACAATATATAATATTTATAGTAAAAATATGAGACAATATAATGT